TGGCCTCATTGCTAAGAAATGGTCCAGCGCATGTTTCATTCATTAGCATGGATTCAGCACCAAGAGACCTGGGCGCCATGTGGCCCCAGAGAATCCAAGACAGCACATGTTGAGAAAGGTACAGAAAAGTACCACCATGCTATTGTGTCCAAGCAGAATCCGTCAAAATCTCCCCCTCTTTCTCTTCCTCCTTCTCTATCAAGCTTTTGCCTCTGCATTACTTCCATACAGAAAGCTTCACTGGGTTCATGCAAAGCAGGTGGCTAGGAAGAGGACTGGCATCATAAAATTGTCCATGTCCCACAAGCAAGGGGGAAAAGAGGAAGCTCAGTGAAAATAGCAAATAAACATCGAAATGATTTAAGCGTGAGGTGGCCTTGTTAAACTGCTAGTGCTGAAAGGAAATACCATTTATCTTCAAGAAAGCACCAGAGTTTATCCTGATGTTGTGCTTATGATGTGTCATCACCACATGGGCACCACCACAGCTGTAGCACAAGATGGAAATAAAATCCCAGGTGACTCAGAAGTATTGTACTCCCAAGCGCTCCCTCCCTCCAAACTGCTAGAAAAGCTCCTAGCAGCTCTGCCCCTTGATACAGTCAGCTGGGTAGTGTCCACATGTTGCAATAGCTGGATACAAGTACTTTCATGCAGATCTCTTAATGCAAAATTGTGTAAACAGTCATCTAAAACAATAGGTAATAATTTCCAAAAGAATTCAGATGTTCAGGAACAGCCCAGCTAGTGTGTGGCACACGTTAACAAGGAGGGGTTCATTAAGGCTGGTAGGAGACTACACAGATGACTGCAAAGGGTGTTGGTTTCCACCGTGCTCCTCCATTGTAGCCTTCATTATCAACAGATCTGAGCAAATGTATCATTATATTGCCAGGGTGGCAGCAGGCAAAAAAGGATCTCAGCCAGAATCTAAACACCTGATGGGTTTTTTTTCAGAAAATAATCAGGACTGGAAATGATTTCTCACTGGTAAGAACAAGCACAATTGAAGAGGTTACTGTCAAACTACTTCATTCCTGGTATGTAGATAGTACAAAATATTCAGATAAAATATTCCTTTTAAAAAAGCTATTATAAACCAAATATCCATTTTCTTTTCATTTAAAAGCTTGGAAAATCCTCAAAAAAAGCAAGGACAAAGGCATTGTGATTACTGAATGAAAACTCATTTTCTAAAACAGGGTCCTTTATACAACTTTAAATATACAAATAAAATTCAAGGACTAAAATTCAGGGACTATCAAGAGTTAGGAGAAAAAATGATGTTTTTTCCCGAAATGTTTCAGAATATTTAATAGATAACAAGCTCTGTCATGTTTAAGTCCAACAGAAAAAATATAGTAAAGTTGTATGAGAGGTATAACGGCTAAATACGTAAGTCCATGTTCTGACTACTGCCATGCTTTTATGTTACTTCATATGATCATGTAAATAGTTTTATCTAAGTGATAAAGATTAGTGTATTTAAGATTAGCATTTTCCTGTCCTCAGGTTAGTCATATCCAGTAAATCTTGATAATGGATATTAAATGTTCATAGGAAATTATATTAGTGACCTGAACAAATGTTCAATTATCTTTACAAGACATAACCACTTCTCTATTTGATTTTAATCACTTATCATTTGCTTTTTTACTACCTTGCTAAAAATATGGCAGGTTGCTATACAATCCTCTGCAAATTTTGTGGGCAAGATAATAATTCCATTTTGCTGGGCCTGTCATTTTAAATCCTGCCATACAAACGATCCTACTTGCAAAACACCTGTAGATATCACCAAAAAGAAGAAGAAAAAAAAAGTAGTGTAAAAAAACAAGGAAGGGCCCTGACAGAGCAAAAGTAAGGCTGTATTTATGAGGCCGGACAGATGGCGACCATCACAGCCCTGGTGCCACTGTTTGGTGGGAGCTATTGGTAGCTGTCCTCTCTGAATATTGCATCACTTTGTATGGGAAGTACAGCACAAGAAAACAACGCAACTGAGGAGGAAGAATATGATGCACAGGTAGGTCTCCTCCTAGCTCTTTTCTTGTCACAGCTAGGTGACACATCCAGACTGAGATCCATCCTCTATCCCAACACACAGTCATAGCCTAAGTGTTTGATATAGTCCACTGGTGTTGATAGTCTTCCAGCTATTGAGATCAGAGAGGATCAATCAATTGTCATCTCTGATTTTCAGTGTAATTCCAGCTGTTCCATTAAACCCAGATATATTTATAAAACAAATGACCAAAAAGGCCAGACCTAAGGCATATAGGCAATATAAATTACACTTTCACAACTGGGAACAAACCAGAAAGTTATTCTTTCTAAAAACTGGCATACAAGGAGGAACTGCACTGAAAGGAAAGTATTTGAAACCACAACAAATAGATCCTGATTTATTGAGGGAGAAAATTACCCCTCTTCAGCTAGGATTAAATCAGTTTTTACAATTGCATCATGAAACCATAGCTTCTTTAAATCTCAACATCTTGCCTTGACAACAAAGAGATCTGTACAACTTTCTGTGCTGTTGTGGAAACACAGTCAGTCTGGTGAATTTTAAAAACAACACAACTGGATTTGGTGTTTAATGTCGATAAAAATGAAGGCACTAAAATTCTTCTGGATGGAGGGACAAGGCTGCAACAAATTACTGCAGAAAAAGGAGTCTTTCTATTAGTAAATACATGCATACGCTGTGCATGTTTACATACATATATATATGAATATAAAGGGGTGCATGCACATCTATGCATTGGAGGCCTGTCTCTCAGATAGCAATGAGTTCCACAAATACATGCTTCCCAGGAAAAAAAAAAAGCACCTTTCTGTATTTTGTACCCTCTTCTCAACATCTGTGTTAATACCTGTTTACAGCAGAAATCTAAAAGCTCTTTCCAGGCTATGCTGCCCACAGGGGAGAACATCAGAAAGCAAATACGACCTCAGTCTGGAAAATGTGTTTAATTTTAGTTGTTATTTTAGTTGATCTTTTATACAGAGATACAAGGCATGGAAAGCATTTTACAAGTCCATATCATCATGTACTGAACACATAGTAGCTGCACTCTTGGATCTTGCAAGCTGAAGACTAAGCTCATAGCTGTCACATTTTCAAAACCAGTTTCACCAAATACTTCTTAAATTCAAGAAAGAGAATTACATTCATTACAACACTAATCAAACCATGAGGAATATTACACACAAAAAAAATATCCTCTTTGCTGTGGACCTTTGCTTATCTCATTATCAATGTGGACCTTCAGAAAATTCCCATGTGAAGGGAAGAGTCAGACCAAAGACTTCTTAACAAGAATTAAAAGGTCAATGTGGGAATTCTCACAAGTTAAAAATTCAAGGAAACAAAGGGGCAGATGTTTATCTGCTACGTGATCTAAATACTGCTTCCATCACTTAGAAATAGTATTTAACAAAAGCTTTTGTTTTTAACGAAAGTCTGATCTACCTTAGGAAGCCCACATGAATAGGGATCCTGTCTACAATCATAATGAAGGACTTTGAAACTTGAGTATGAAGAGTACTTTTTTATTCTTATGTCCATTAGATAACAAGCAATGTGAAAGGCACAGCTTGCTGTACCACGTCATTTATCACCTGACACAGTGAGACAGATGGCAAATTACAGATTACATCACCTGCTCCTTCAAATGTAGCAGCAGCACAGTCAGAAACAATGTGGACTTAATTAGGCCCCCCAAAAAGTTTATTGTATAAATACACTTATGAAGGTATTTCTCAAAAATTGTTAAAAGTGATTAAAAAGAAAATCAACTGCGCGTACTATGAGTGAGTGTAATACAAGTCTCTCAGATATGAGGCTGTGATCCAGTTTATGGCTGGAAACAGAAAGTCAATGGGTATTATTTCATGGCTTTCCTGAACACCATTACAGCATTGATTTAAAGCCAATTATACAGTTAATCTAAAAATCAGAACACCACATATAATACTTAATTGATGTCACGTCATATTTGAGCTTTACAACAGTTAACAGTTTCAACACAATCTCAAAGGAGTATTTTAAACTTTAATTTGCATGGCAATTACTTTGTATTTTAGCTGCAGTTTATGCCACATAACTTCAACAATGAAGCCTTAAGCCAGCTGTGATGCCACTTATGTCATCTGAGAGAATGACTTTTAATATACTAACAAAAAAAAGGGGGGTTTCCAGAAGCAATAATGATTTACTCTAATTTTTCCCTCGGAAGCCCCTCTTTGTCTTGGGAACTCTGAGTCACCAATTTATCTTTTTGGAACTTCTGTTTTGGTGTGCCAACAAAACACACAGCTCACCACAGCGCTACGGCCACAGAACTCGGATCAAACGGAGCATTCCTCTTCCCTTTCTGCCCTTACTAGCAAGCTTGCCTTCAAACTGACAAAATTCCTGATGATCTGTAGAAAGCAGCAACTAACTACTTATTCCTGTTACTCATCCTGTATTCCTTTACTGTGATGAAAATGTCAATATTGCTTCCACTCAGCTAGCAGAAACTGGCCCAGCGCTGTCTTAGCATGGTCCAAAACCCACTAACATCAACGGAAATGGATGGGCTCTTTAGACAATATATAAGGTTCTAAGCCACAAAACCTCTCTACATTTTATAACAAAACAGTTAAGTAAGAGACTATCATAATACTCTTAGCACTGTTACTGATCTGTCACTTTTTATCATTATAATAATTTTCTTGCTTTTTAAGTTAGTATACTTAAAATTATAAATATACATGAAATCAACACAACACATGGCAACAAGATGCGCAAATAACTTTTTGTACAGTATCTAAAAATTTTTAGTATAGTGGCATTCATAATCTCTTCATGGGAAATACCATAAGTACGTATTTACAGAGTGGTTTTGTAGTACATGCTCACTGTGTATGTCCATTGCATATTATTTTCTTTAGGAAACAAAATCTTTCCTATACATCAAAGTTGAAAAAGTATGACAAATAGTACTACCGACATGGTAAATACAGAGGGGGATATGCATAAACAGATACCCAAAACCTGCATATTGCAAACATGGCATCAAAATTACACTTCTGGGAAACCACCTAGTGTGTCTGGAGGACACAGGCTAAATGAAACTGAAAACAGAGTAAGTCAGCACTTGCTTTATATGGCTGCTCAGTGTGTTAGTAATGCTGCAGCATTTGGAGGATATAAATCGTCCAAGATATAAGAAAATTGAAAAAACATGGCAAAGCTATCTAAAGTACTTGGACCTAAACAGAACTGAAGAATAATTGCCATGCTTTAAAATGCATGCTGTGAAATATCGCACAGTATCATAGTCTGAAAACTTAGCTCCTTTCCCTCATTCTCTGGTCCCTAGGCATTACTGGGAGAAAAGAGGAGAGGTGAAAAGCCACAGGCGTTTAGCCCAAGATCCATACACATGGAAATGCGAGGCATTTGCTCTATTTACCTTCCTTTCACCCTGCAGAACTGTCACTCCTTGTGGAAAGCTACAGACTTCTAACTTTATAAATTAAAGTATTTTGTTAGTCTGTGAGAACTTGACTTGGTGAACAGGCCTTGCAAAACCTTCCTGCGTAACCCTCACGTAAAGCTACCACAAACACATCAACCGATCAGGCAGCTCGCTCTGAGCGTGGGCAAGGGTGAACTTGCACTTTCTGGAAATTTCGAAATTACCTTTTTGACACGCCGCTATCCTGAAAAATCTTCCTAGGACAGACACGGAGGAGACAAGCGAGTGCAAGAGCTAACTCTCTCTCACTTCACCTGAGCAATGAATATACACCCAGAAATGCACAAATCACAGCTCCGGAGGGCGGCGGTCGGCGCTCCCGGCCGGGCGCGGCCCTGGCATCCCGCATCATTTTTCGGGAACAGAAATAACACATCCCCCGCCCGCCTCCCGGGCGGAGGGGGACGCTTCCCCCCTCTCCCCCACTTCCGGCCCGGGGGATGCCTCCCGGCACTACGCCCCGGCTCCCCCGAA